TCCTAGACAGACATCCATGGGAAATCAATCAAGACCTTAACACCATGACACTGAGCTGGCTTTACTAATCACGGCAGTCTGGCAGTCAGACGGTATCTGGGAACTTGCGACCCAAAACAGGAAACAGGCTGGACAGTACAGAGAACAATTTGTGTTTGAGAGGAAATACCCAGGAAATACCCTGTGTTTTCACCCAGGGCCTGCAGACCAAATGGTCATGCCACCGTCAGGGGTCTGTCTCAGCTGATTTATAACAGTCAAAAATAATATTATTAGGCCAGCCAGGTAGCATGGTGATTGAGGCAGCTAGATCTCACATAGCTAATTGTGGTGTTCGAGTCCTGGACCCAGTGGCTTGGAAAACATGCCAGGCACACGTGTGTATGTGCCCTAAATCCTGAGAGGAAAATAGAGAAGGGATTGAGCCACGGCCATCCCCCCAGGGGGTTATTTTCGCCTTTTCTCTTTCTCTTTTTCTCTTTCTGGAGAGTACACACACCCTATAGCAAAAATTTGAAAATAAATGAATAAAAATAAATAATATTATTAACAAATGTTTTATTTGTGGGAAAATTTATAGATATTTCTCCTTTTTTAACTTCGTTTTTTTATTTTTTTTTTTTAACTTTCCAGGTTAGAATTTGAACCGCGCAGTTGGCCGTGCGGAACACCCTGACTACCACAGCACCAGCTGGCCCCATAGATATTTCAAATATTTAGAATCTAATTCAGTTTCAAAAGCCCAGGTGGGTTAAGCAGGGTGGGGTCATATTTCCTTGATGTGTTCCTCATCTCACTACTCCTCTGTCCCTCATGTCAACTTTCCCAGAGCCTATTCTTCCTTCCTTAGTCCTTTACCATCCCATCCCTCTTGGATTAGGATTAACCCATGGCTTAGTCTTTCCTAGTCTGGGTTAAGGAAACTACTAGAAGACGCCAGTAAGATTGCAAAAATATCAACTCACACACGGATGTTTATTTATTACCTAACCAAATTAAACTAATTCTTTTTTTATTTATCTATTTATTTTTGCTTTCTTTTGGAATGCCTTAAAGCTTTCGATGTCCTAAAACCTTCCACGACATTCTCAGAATAGATTTATTGTGCACTGCCCTGACCCCTTGCTCTCTAAGTCCTGACCCCTTGCTCTCTAAGTCCTTTCAACATATTCTGGAACCCTAGTTACCAAGAGCACACTTTGGAAAGCAGACTGAAGCCTAATCACAGAGGCTATGTTTCTAAGCCTCACTTCTGGTGTGGAATAGCCTAGAATTAAATAAGTAGATAAGCATGTGTAAGTATGGTGGAGACAGGAAACTGTGAGGGAGCACATGTGTGTGTGTGCGTGTGTATGTTTGCAAGTGGTCACACACACAGATGCCAGTGTTTGTTTCTATTAGAGGATAATACAAGTATTAGATGACATCTTTTTGGATTAAAAAAGATATATTAAGATAAAACAATCAAGTTTTCTTTTATGACTCAGTACTTATATTTGAAAATAAGATCTAAAAGCAGTGTAGTCAGAATAAGTCAGTATAGTTGGCATACAGGTTTGTAAAGTGACTCCTAAGGATACTATTTATTTGGATTTGCAAATCAGTGTGTGTTTGCTAAAATCGAGATGCATTTTTATTTGCATACCTTGTGTATGTTTGTGCATGTGCTATTTGTCATGCAAATCATAGCCTAAAAAAGAATCTTGAGGATGAAATAATTTTTATTGAAATGAGTTTCAAGAATATGGGACCAGAAGATGGCTTAGAGGTTACATCACTGGACTCCTGCATGGGCAACTGCAGTTCAAGGCCCCAACCTGGTACCTTGAAACTCACACCAGGTGTGTGTGTGTGTGTGTGTGTGTGTGTGTCTTCAAGGTTCTGAGGGGAGAATGGAAAAGGGGTTATGGCATGGCCATACCGTCTAGGGGGAAGTGATAACTCACTTTCCCTCTCACTGTCTCTGTCTCTCTCTCTTTCTGGAGAGCACACATACCAGGAGACAAATATCTCTCCCCAAAAAAAAAAAAAAAAGAAGAAAAGAGTAACGAGACTATCTGAGTAGGTAGAGGAAAAAGGTATCTTTCTGATCAAGAACGAATGTTTCTGCTTACTCTAGTCAGCAGAAAAATGTTCTCCAAAATGTCCAAGTCCTAATCTCTAGAGTATGTGAATATGTAACCTTGTGGGGCAAAAGAGATTTTGTAAATATGAGTTAGTGTAATCACATATGTCTTTGCAACCAGAGAGCTCTTCCTGGCTGTAACCTGAGGAAGATGAGCCTGTAGAAGAATAGTCAGAGAGATGTGACAGTGTTGGCTTTGGAGATGGAAAAGTGCCATGTGCCAAGGAAGCTGGGTGGCCCTTAGAAGCTAGAAAAGGCAAAGGAAAAGATTCTCCCCTGTATCAAACTTCTGATCAACCAAACTTCAAGATAATAAAATTTTGCTTTTAAGCCAATGAGATTGTGGTCATTTGTTAAGCAGTAATAGAAATATAATTCATTAGCATCTCCTGCCCTCATCCACCATATTTCACTGCTCTACAAAGTCTTTGCATGTTTGCCATAGTACATATCTTTACCTGGTTCAGTTGCCTTAGTTTATGACTGCAGACTTAGTACATCACAGATAATAGAAGAAGACTGACTAATACCTACATGTAGAGGGAATAACTTGTGAGATGCCAGAAGATGCCAAGTGTGGCTTCAGAGGCCATGTGATGCAACTACCTCATTTTACAGATGAGGCTCAGATATATTTGTTTCCCCTATCCTACCTCTACCCCTGTCCAGTGAGCACATTTACACACCAGCCTAAGAAGCTAGCAGTACAGAAATGGGAGGTAATGAATCCCACTCATTGTGCTTTCATTTACTCCACTGTTCACTTACATGTGAGGAGGTGTTTTAATGAGAAATTATGTCTTTCTTGTAGAATTTAGAAAAAAGTCTTGACCAGCGACTACTACATACTCACAGGTGGTCCTAGGGCACCTTGCGGTCCAACACTGCCTGTGATCCCTGGGATTCCAGGAGCTCCTGGAATGCCCTAAAAGAGAGGCAAAAAAATGTAACAAAGGAGAAGATTTCCATCAATGGCAGCCAAAGTAAGTACCAAATACAACCCAATGGCATCCTCCCTGCTTATCACTAAGACTTCAAGATTTATTGCTCATTCCGTTCCAACTACCAAAATGTAGGGAAGACTTATTTATTTATTTAGTCTCCATACTAGCAGTCAGGTATGGGTTTTTCCAAATTTAAGCCTTACCTGGATCTAATAAAAATGAAATCAATGCAGGTGATATGACAAGGTGGTTCAGAGACAGAATAACCAAGCCATAAGGATACATTTTAAAAAGATGTTCTAGGGAAAGTTCTAAGTGGTAAATAGTTACATCTGAGTAAAAGGTCAGGCAAAAGAGTCTCTGAAAACAAAACAACCCAAATTGCTCTAAGAATTCTGGAAATACTTACAATTGGCCCTGGTGGTCCTGGAGGGCCAGAAGAACCATCTTTTCCAGGAAATCCCTGAGGAAAAGGAAAATTGTATGTCAGTTAAGCAGTTGCTTTATATGGCTCTCAGAATAGGCTCACCTAATTTTTCTTAGTATCTGGGGGGGCATGTCCTGTGCCTTGCCCTGGACATCAAGACATCACTGCTTTAAACTCTTCTTGAGAATTATTCTTGGCAAGCCTAGTGTGTCCATTGGCTCCACTAAATTGTCCAGTGCAAGAGTTTCAGGTGTAAGAAATGTCACTTACAAATTGTACAGGAACTCATTGCAGAAAGTGCTTTCATTAAACGAAACATAACAAATGAGAAGGAGGGATCAATTCTTAGAAATGAATGGCCAGACAAAAAGATGAATTAGTGCCTTTCATGACTTCAGAGAGTCATGGTCAGAGAATCCCTACCATCAGGACCTATATTACCTTGAAAATGCACAATATCGGAAACTCTACAACTCTTCAGGAGCAGGCTAGAGGAGAATACGGGGGATTTTCTGCTGCAGCAGTGCATTTATGATTGCGAGGCATGACTGCTAAATGAATGCCATGGACCTACAAATGAGTACACGTTTGCTTTCAATTCTATATTGGAAGAACTTAAGGTGGAAAATAGATGATGCTCTTTATAAAAATTATCTTCCTAAATTACTGAACATGTGTCTGTGTATTTTTGTGTGTTAATATAACCGCTGACATGGCTTACTCTCACATGGTTGTAGTTTTTAACTGTGGATGTTGGTCTTTAATTAACAATCATAGTTCTTAATTATAGATGCAATTAACATGAGAGAGCATCTCCAATCTAAATTTTATAAGTTCATAAACTTTATTCAGAGCATCAACTTCTATGACAGGAAGACAGAATTTTTACCAGGGGATTTATCTCCTATTGTAATAATAACTACCCATCTCAAACCAATTCAAAATTTTCCCAGCTTCCTTGCAGCCTCTTCCAACACCCTCTCTGATAAGCCCCGATACAGGTTAAGTTACACGCACAAACAACACACACACACAGACACCTTTCCCTGTATTTGTTAAGAAACAAAATTAATATAGATGTAGTTTGAAAAAAAAAATCATTTAAATAGAGAGTATAAATAATCATGGCCAGAAGTAAGGGGGCATACAACCATCAGAATAGGTAAAAGTGGAACAAAGAATTCATCCATTAAAGTTGCTCATAATACATATGAGAAAACTTGGGGCCACGAGAGGTTAAGAAGTCTAATTATTTTAATAAAAAAAGAATTTTTAATAATATAGTATGAATTCCTAGATGAAGTTCTCATAAGAAAAAAATGGACTCTGGGCACATATTCAATGACTTAAAAGACATTTTAGAATGGACATCTTTTGGCTTCCTGCCTTAAAGCTCTTCCAGCACTGGATAGGATGTGAACTTGCACCTATGCGTAAGCCCACAAATGACTGATGGCCAACAAACATGGCTGCCGAGTCAAACTGTGACATTGCTGCAGGCGTCTTCCCTAACTTTCCCAGATTGTTCCCAGAGAGGAAACATTCCGAAAACAAGTAAGGGCAAGCTTATTCATAGGGAAGCAAGCTACGAAATATTTTCTTAAAAGAAAACTGCAGAAAGTTGCATTGCTCCAAGGTAATTGGCAGGAAATAACACATTTACCCTCTCTTAATCATGTGGGAAGAAGTTTTAAAAAGCAATGATCTGTCAGTATTGTCACCTATGATGGTTCTATAAGGATACTCTTGTGAACAGGTTTGAGTTCACTTGATTTATAGACACCATGTGTCCATCATCCGGAAGGGAAGACAATGAAATATTCTTAATATGAGCTTAATTTGGTGGAGGGGCTATTGTTTTAGTGTGGTCAGCTCAAAAGAGAAGACTTATTTGCTCTATGTTCCGCCATGTAAAGATCATCATCAAGAGCTAGTCCATGGGAGTCAGCAGGCGTTGTGGTAGTTAAGGCACTGGGCTCCCATATGGCTATGGTTTGAGTCCTAGACCTGGCAGCTTGATTTCTCACTTTCCCTCTCTCTTGTTGTCTCTCTATGATGAGCAAATTAAAAAGAGAGGGAGAGAGATAATTATAAATTAAATTAAATAAATAAATTTTTTAAGAGCTCATCCATGGCCACGTGGTTAAGGTAGCTGGATCCCACATGGCCTATCTCAAGGTTTGAATCCTGGACCTGAGGGTTAAAAAACATGCTGGGATCAGCAGGTGGTATAGTGGTTATGGTGCTAGACTCCCACATGCCCAATTGCAGTTCAAGTTCTAGACCAGCAGCTTGAAACACACAAGGCACTTGTGTGTGTGTACCCAAAACCCCAAGAGGAGAATAGAGGAGAAGGGATTGTGGCATGGTCATCTCCCTGGAGGGTGATTTCTCACTTCCTCTCTCTCTGTCTCTCTATGTCTCCAGTGAGCGCATGTGCCTATAGCAAAAATCTCTCTAAAACCAAAACAAAACATGCCAGGCTCGTGTTGTGTGTGCCCAATATCTCAAAAAGTAGGGAGAAATGGAAGAGAAGGAACTAGAGTGTGACCACTCCTAATGGGTAGTACTTTTTTTACTCTTTCTTTCTCTGCCTCTCTCTGATAAATGCACATACCTTCTGGCAATTTTTTGTTTGTTTGTTTTTAAGAGAGTTTTGCTGTAGGGCACATGCACTTGCCAGAGAGACAGAGAGAGAGAGAGAGAGACAGAGAAAGCAAGAAATCACCACCCAAGGGGAATTGCCATTCCCCAATCCCTTTTCCTCCACTCTCCTTTCAGGATTTTGGGCATACATGCAAATGCACCTGGCATGAGTTTCAAGCCACTGGGTCCATGAATTGAACCACGGTCAATTATGTGGGAGTCCAGTGTCTTAACCACTATGCTACCTGCCGATCACCCCTTCTGGCAAATTTTTTAAAAATAAGAGAAGCATCATCAGAGGCTGAAGTTTCTCCTTTCTTTTGAGAGCTGAAATTGTGTTTTATTCATTGTTATATTCCTAACACCTTCCTAGTATATTGTTGGCTCAAAAGAGGCATTAAATATGTATAATTTGAATAAAGTTCAGATTCCTTAAAAAGTGCTGATATATATACACACACACACACACACACACATTTTTAGGATTTTGCCACAGGGTGTATATGCTTGCTGGGGAGAGACAGAGAGAGATAGAAAGGGAAAGTGAGATGCCACCCCTCAGAGGAAATAGCCATGCCACAATCTCTTCTCTTTTATTCTCTTCTTGGGATGTTGAGCACACAAACATGTGCCTGGTGTGATTTTCAAGCCACTGGGTCTGAGGCTCAAACTATGGTTGGCCATATGGGAGCCCAGAACTTTAACCACCTTACTCTCCCCACCTAAAAATGTTAATTACAGGAAAAATGAGCTTGGAAATGTGTAGGGCAGGGGACATGCTGGTGTCATTCCTCCTTGTTCTTGAACCCACAACAAGCATGAAGGGTAGGTACTGGGAGTCATCTACCCTCAGAAGCTGAAATCTCATTTCACTTAAATCTAAGGGATAGTTTCCTAGAAGCAGACCTGGATTCTCATGTTGTTGATTTTTTGCAAGAATGCTCTTAGGAGATACCTATAAGGCAGTGAAGCAGGAGGATAGGGTAGGGGAGGAGGCTAGGTGAAGTGGGTTGTCTAAGTATGGCCTCAGTCTTACTCCATGGGGAGCTATGAAGTGTGAATTTCACATCAGAGTCAGCCCATGGTAAGATAAGATACAACCATTGCAGTCAGTCATTGACCAGGTGTCAAGATAGCATTTCCAAGGGTGATGATCTGAACATGGGACAGTCATGAGTTAGCAGTCAACACCCAAAGCACCTGGGGAATGCCTTCCAGGTAAAGGGGATGGATCAGGGCACCAACTGAGTTCACTGCCATGCATTTTCATTCTGGTACTTTCTTTCAGGCAACTGCCATTAATAATTCAAATATTTTTATAGATAGTAGTACAAGAATAAAAATGTTCTGTAACCTGTTTCAATCATTCCAAATTAAAATTTAATTGTTATAACTAGTGGAATTTTAGCCTTAATACCATTTTAGAAGCAAAGTCCTTTCTGCCCCAAAGTTTCTTCTTAAATTTAGAAAAGATGTTCACATTTTTCATCTAGTAAAGTAGTCTTATTTTTGTAAACTTTTGACTCACACCAGTACATTTACCTTTGAAATATTTTTGTTTGTAAGCTTGATATTTGTCATGCTATTTAGAAATATTTGCAGAGCTACTACCTGGTGTGCATCTTGCTAGGTTTTAGGTAGATGATGGTGAACAAAGCTGTCACTTTACAAGGAGTTCACAGTTTTATGGAGAAGAGATACGACAGGCTATGATAACAGACTAGACAACTCCATGGGAGCATGGTTAGGAAGAGCACCTAACCCAGACGTGGGGATATAGAGAAGTTTCCCAGAAAAGGTGACAGTTATGTCAAGTGACTTGGGGTGATAGGGCCCACTGCATTAGTCTTCCTAGCCATGTGCCACTGCGGTCCCCACAGGACAGTCCACGCCAGACAAGTACAAACTCTTCCAACTGCAGCCTTCAGGTGCCATTTCTCACCTTTTCATCTCAGGGTGAACAGCAACAACAGAAACATTTTTGCTACTGCATGCATGTGTTTGCCAGAGAAACAGAGAGAGACAAGGAGACGGAAAATGAGAAATCACCCCCGAGAGGGGATGGCCACAACACCATCCCTTTTCCTCCATTCTCCTCTCGGGATCTTGGGCGCACACACACATGTGCCTGGCATGAGTTTTAAGCCACCAGGTCGGAGAATCAGACCATACTTGACTACATGGGAGTCCAGTGATGTAACCATTATGCTATCTGCTGGTCCCCTGAAACTTTTTTAAAGCAATAACCTTGATGAAAATAAAAATTTCTTAAAATATCTGTATAAAGAAAAATATTTGGTAAATTCTAACATTGTTTAACTGTAATCAAAACTCACTGAATAGTCATCACTCATTAACAACCCCAAAATATGTGAGTCTTTCTCCAAACA